CACAGAGTGTTTTTCCCCCACTTGACAATATATCCTGGGAATTGTTTCATGCCAATATACATAGATTTACATATATATATATGTGTTGTTGTATATATATATATATATATATAGAGAGAGAAGCCTGCACCCTCTCCAATCTGGGACCCGGTAAGGGATGTCCGACTGCCCACTCATAATCCAGGACCGCTGGCCCCCAACAGCTCACCTGCATGCCTGCCTGATTGCCCCTAACCACTCCTCTACCAGCCTGATCGACGCCTAACTGCTCCCTGCCAGCCAATTGCCCCCAACTGCCCTCCCCTGCTGGCCTGGCTGCTCCCAACTGACCTCCCCTAACGGCCTGGTCACCCCCAACTGCCCCCCCAATGGCCTGATTGCTCCCAACTGACCTCCCCCGATGGCCTGGTCACCCCCAACTGCCCCCCTGCTGGCCTGGTCACCCCACACAGCCTGCTGTTCAGTCGTTTGTTCATTCCTCACTAACACCCCTCCTGGCCTTGTTGCCCCACACAGCCTGCTGTTTGGTTGTTACTGTTACTGTGATGGTGTCCCGGACAATTTGCATATTCCTCTATTATTAGTATAAATAATTTCATATATTTACCCTATAATTTTTTGTTGTCAATCCTCACCTGAGGATATTTTTTTTCATTGGTTTTTAGAGAAAGTGAAAGGGGGGGCGGAGAGAGTGAGAGAAAAACATAGATGTGAAAGACACATCAATTGGTTGCCTCCAACACATGCCCTGACCAGGGCTGGGGATTGAACCTGCAACTCAGGTATGTGCCCTTGTCTGGGAGTCAAACCTGTGACCCTTTGTGCTAGGGCTGGTGCTCTAACCACTGAGCCATTGGCCAGCGCTATTTATCCTATAATTTATTCAACCATTCTGCTATTGGTGGGCATCTTTCTAGGTTGTTGGTAATTTTTTAATTTTTTTTTTTTTTTACTTCAGAGAGAGGAAGGGAAAGGGAGGGGGAAAGAGACAGAAACATCAATGAGAGAGAAACATCACTGATCAGCTGCCTCCTACAGCCCCATACTGGGGATTGATTTGCTCTGACCAGGAATCGAACCAACAACCTCCTGGTACAGGGGGCTAGGGGACGATGCTCAACCAACTGAGCCACACTGGCCAGGTAGTTGTTGGTAATTTTTAACAAAAAAAATTATATCCTGTTCTCATTTCCACCCCAGACCATCTCCTCAGTCCCAGCATCAATTCTGTTCTTTTTCAGTGTGTCTCTATCCTGCCTTTGCAAACAGCTCAGTTCTTTGTCCCATGACCGTCTACCACAATCACCCGCCTTACCCCCATTTCAGAGCATGCCCCTACCTGTCTTCTCATGCCTCAAAGCTGCTGAGATGAATGGAGACAACTGCACAATCAGAACACTGGGGCAGCTAAAAACGAACAGCCTGCAAACCTAACTGGACCTTCCATGCTGCTTAACCTCTCTTCTGGTATCCTTACACAGTTTCCTCTCCTACCCCCAGGGCAACTAGTCTAAACCCTTACTCCTCACGACCCCTTCTCACCTTCCTCTCATAAGCAACAACTCTGTCTGCCTTAAAGGGAAATTTTAGCTTGGCTGGTGTGGCTCAGTGGTTGAGCATCCACCCATGAACCAGGAGGTCACGATTTGATTCCTGGTCAGGGCACATGCCCGGGTTGCAGGCTAGATTCCCAGTAGGGGGTGTGCAAAAGGCAGCCAATTTATGCTGATGTTTCTCTTTGATGTTTCTATCTCTCCTCTCTCTCTAAAAAATCAATAAAAACATTTTTTTTAAAAGGGGGAAAATTAAGGTTATTGAACATGAACTTCTTCATCCCCTCCCTCATACACACACCTTCTTACTTACATATATCTGCACAGATCCTTTCCTTTCTCTCTCCCTTCTGACAAGTGATAAATCTCCCTTTTCTAGGTTAAAGCAAGTCCCTTCTAGATCTTTCATTCTTGAGACACTCAGAGCTTAATATATAAAACTGGAGGCCCAGTACACAGATTCGTGCACCCGTGGGGTCCCTCAGCCTGGCATGCGGGGATCGGGTGAATGGCTCTCCAACATCCCCCGAGGGGTCCTGGATTGCGAGAGGGCACAGGCCAGGCTGAGGGACCCCACTAGGGAGGGACCAGGGTGTGTCCGGCCTGTCTCACCCAGTCCCAATAGGGGCAATGGGAGGAGGGGGGCCAGCCAGGGAGGGACCGTGGGAGATTGGCTGGCCCAGGAGGGAATGCGGGAGGGCTCCAGGGCATGTCCGGCCCCTCTTGCCCAGTCCCGATTGTCCAGACCCCAGCAGCAAGCTAACCTACCAGTCAGAGCATCTGCCCCCTGGTGGTCAGTGCACATCATAATGACTGGTTGAACGAACAGTTGGACATTTAGCATTTTAGGCTTTTATTATATAGAATAGGATAACTAAAAGTGGTGCAGACTTGGGCAATTTGCATCTTTGTTAACTTCTGTCTCAATTATTTCTTCCCTGCTTGTTTTTCTTTTGTTTTTGCGTTTTTATTTCAAAATATTTTTATTGATTTTTAGAGAGAGAGGATGGTAGAAGAAAGAAATATCAATGTGAGAGCATCCATCAGCTGCCTCCTGCACGCTCCCTACTGGGGATCAAGCCCAGAACCCAGGCATGTGCCCTGACAGGGAATTCAAGGAGCCACCTCTTGGTGCATGGGACAATGCCCAACCAACTGAGCTCTACCAGCCAGGGCTTCCCTTCTTCTAAGGCAGTGGTTCTCAACCTTCTGGCCCTTTAAATACAGTTCCTCAGGTTGTGACCCATCCATAAAATGATTTTCGTTGCTACTTCATAACTGTAATTTTGCTACTGTTATAAATCGTAATGTAAATATCTGATATGCAGGCTGGTCTTAGGCGACCCCTGTGAAAGGGTCATTCGACCGCCAAAGGGGTTGCAACCCACAGGTTGAGAACCGCTGTTCTAAGGTCTCCCTTAAAAGTCCCTCTCTTTACTGTGTGGTTCTCTTTAAGAGACTCCCTACTTGTTTTCTTACAACCAAATTTCAAAAAATAGTCCCAGGCTTCTGCCCCCACTTCCTTTCCTCCCACTCATTCTTCAACCCACCTTGATCTGGCTCCTGTTCTGGTGCAACTGCCCCAAGGTCACTAGTTCCCAAGTACAGTTGGCACTTACTTCTCCATCCTTGTCTTGCTTCACCTCTCTGCAACATTTGACAGTGCTCTTCACTCAGTCCTTGACACGCCACTCTCTTGGCTTCTGTGCCCCGCTCGCTCTCCTGGCTCCTTTACTTCTCTGGCCACCCCTTCTCAGCCTTTTCCCAGAAGTCTCTCTCTTTTTAAAAAAAAAGACTTTTAAACAATATGTTTGTTTGTTTTTAATTTTTAGAGAGGAAGGGAGAGGGAAAGATAGAAACACCTGCACCCCTCATCCCCCTACCCTCTCCCACCCCCTTACACCCCTGCCATGGAGCCTGAAACTCGGGCCTGTGCCCTGACCGGGAATTGAACCGGTGACTTCCTGGTGCATGGGTCCACACTCAGTCACCCCGCCACCCTGGCTTCTTAAGTACTGGTTTACACCGAGGTCCAGCCTTGGTTCTTTCCTTGCCCTCTCTGAGAGATCTCATCCACACCCACAGATTCCACAACAATAAACTCTGTATCCCCAGCACAGACCATTCTGCTGAACTGCGGGCCTATATGTCCAATTGACCTCAGGTACCCCTACCATGCTCCAAACTGAACTCTTTTTGCCTATACTTCACCTTTTCATGTGGCCACCATCTCTCTTCACCTCAGCCAGAAGCCTGGGATTCATTCTCTCTGTCTCCCTTTCCCTCAAACCCCCCACATCACTTCGCATTTTCCAAATGGACATCAAACTAGACCTTCAGATGCCATCCCTTCCTTCCATCCTAACAGCTACTGTTTTAGTTCACCATCTCGTGCCTAGACTTTGGCAGCACTCCAGGCACCCTCCAGAACGAGGCGGAGCGACCCTTCTAGAACCAGGCACGTCTAATACCTTAAAATCATTTCAGGGTTCTATTTCGTTAAATGCTTTGGGGTTACCCTCAGCCGGGAGGTGAGTCCTAGAAACTGGGCAAAACCAGTAGGCGGCGACTTTGCAGCAAAGAAGCTCCCGACTGGAGTGAACAGGCAGCCCAGGCCGCACCCCCGCGGCCTCGATGACCTGCCAGCGGCCTCCGGGGACACGGCCTCCGCGCGC